AGATGGCATCAGAGCTACAGCAAAGTCTGATGGGACAAGAAAGACAGTTAGGTTATAAACAGGCCAGATTATCTAAACCACTTGACATGGAGGTGCAGCAGAAATACTGATCTTTCTTCATGAATATGTGCACAAGTAAGGAAGGTCAAAGTTGAATCAGGACGTCAGTCTGCAAACTGTGAAGGATGCTTACAACAGACAGTTGCCTTGGTTTTCTCTTCCAAATAGAAAATCTGTCTGACTGCTCATGTTTCTTATTCTGTTGGGCATATGTGTATGTATTTATGAAAATCTCAGTAATAACTTGGTGAGTCCAATATAAGTAAATAAGTAAACTTTATTTGCGTAGCTCTTTTCACAGACACTAGTCACAAAGTGCTTTACAAAAACATTAACATACAAGAACAAAATCAGAGGATGAAATGAGCGTCCGAGCCACATGAAGAAGTGAGCTAATAACATTATTACTGACAGGAATGAGGGACAAATTATGAAAATAAGACCTAGGTTGTAATAAATATATCCTTAAATGTGTATTAAAAGTATTGTTACTGTTATCAGTTGAAGAAGCATTGGAGTCGAAGCCTCAATGGTCTGCAGTCCATCAGAAGGTGCAGTCGGTGCCTGACCTTCATGTGAACTTCGCCCTCCCTGTTGCCCTGGCGGAGGTTGACCGCTGGTCTCCTCCATGCGCTTCTCTCAGGCTGCTCAGCATCGACGAGGCGTCTGACTGCACCAGCATCACCGGCTCCTCAGACCTGCCTTCCCCCCCTCAAAATATCTACAGCACCACCCGCTCAGACAAGAAGAGGAGACGGAAGGCTGGACTCAGGGCCCTCAGGTTCCTCAAGCAGAACTCGTTCGCCCAGCATGCCGTGTTTTGCCTCCTGAGCGGCCGGCCGCTGGTTGTCATCGGAGGAGACGAGAGTTTGGTCAGAAAACTGGTGGACGCTTTGAGTCTCTTCTTGCCTGCTCCTGGTCCTGATGGAAATGCTGTGATGCCGTGTTTGACTACGCCGCTTCAACTGACCGACCTGCTCACCTGGAGACTGATCGGAATCCACAGGTACTCGATGAGAATCAACTACTGTTATATTATATTATGATATTTTGCCATATTTTACATTTTGTTTTATGTCTTATCCATTATTTTTACAAAATTACAATGTGTATGTTGACATGCCTTGCCATCTTTTCTTGGTTGCTTCCTTTTGTTTGACTAGGCCCTTTGTAAACTGTCTACAGAGGTGTGCCCACAGAGAAATACCTTACACTACAAAAGTAAATGATAAAGTAAAGGATACAAAGTAAAAACCAGTTTATTTAAGCTGCTAATATTTGATACATTTCTCTTAGTTGTGAAGTTCCCTTGATGTCTTAATAGGGAAGTTTCAGAAAATAATAACATGCACCTAAAAAGGGAAACTACATTGGGGAGAAAGAGAATCAGCAAGTAGACATTTACTATTTGTTGACTGACTGAAAGACACCGCTCGCAGTATTTGATGAACAACTCTACAAACTATGGCATCAAAACACCTCTCACTCACATAAAATACATCTTAATGTTCACCAAACTGCAGGGCTAATGTACAATTATTACAAACTGTTCCTTCTCTGTATTAAAGCTGCTCTAATCAATATTTTTATACTGACATTGTGGATGTGTAATGTGAAAGGTGTTACTAGCCTCAGCTCTATGAAGCATTTTAGTGTCTTTTAAGCTATTTTTTCATTTTAATTTTGGTTTTCCGGCTGGCATCTTAACTGCTTTGGTTTGGCTCTCACTGCTCGGATCATAATTTCCAGTGAAGCGCTGATAAACCGACTGTACGCTACCTGCTCAGCACCAAACAGCAGACAGAGTTAGCAACCAGCTGGTGACTTAGTGGAGCACTGAGCAGCCAGATGTTTCCCTCAGGAGTCTGTGGTGGGGACCAACACAGAGCATAGTGAATATATACTTAGCAGCAACTCCTAATGAATGCCTATGTTGCCCTGTGAATAATCATGTAAATAATCAACTGTTACATGCCATATAAACTTTTAAGATTTGTAAGGTGTATTATTCTTTTGAATAATTGTGCATGTCACTGAAGGACCACAAAGTTGACCCCTTTCCTACAACAAGTCACAAAACTTCCCCTTGTTCAATACTGTCAGTTTCCTGTCTTTTAATGCAAACCGCAGAAATATATGTTGATGTTTTGTGTCAATGGTAACAACAAATGAAAACTAATGACTAACTCTGTTTTTCTTTTTGAACAGATCACCCTCCAGCTCTTCATCCAGCATTCTTCACTCTCTGACGCGCTACAGTCGTTACTTGGCCCTGTTGGACCTGGACCAGAGGACGCTGCACTGCCCGTCGTACTCCGGCTCTCTCATCGGCAGACTGGCCGACCCTCACACTGGCATCTGCCGGGGCATCACCTATCTGCTGCACCTGGATAGCTGCCTGACTGCACTTGCCAACAAGGCTCTGCTGTACACATTTAATCCTTCTTTACAGCGTCCAAACACTGCTGGAGGGAGCAGTGGTGACGAAGACGGGGACTTCCTGTTCAGGAGAGGATTCTGCAGCAGTGAGGATGATTTGAGAGTGATGCATTTCCTGTCTGACCTCATCAAACAGCGCCACGCAGGACGTGGACCACCAGTTTTAAGATTCACCTACTGCTCATTGCACCAGCACAGAAATACATATGCAACAGAAAAACACCAGATGAACAAAATCTAAAAAATCTGGTCATGAAGATGGTCTTTTCTAATACTTACAACAAAATTAATTTCATTTCATTTTGACTGATACAAGGAAGTGGGTAAACTGCAACTGTGGACATATTAAGACCCATTAATCATGCTTAAATATTTTTATCTGCAGTGTAATATGTTAGTGTGTATGCATGATTTTTACTCCACGAAGATGTACCTTAGGATTGCTGGATACAATGCACTAGTGCCTCACTGGCACCAAAGACTTTCACCTGATGGCAGCCGCTACAGCTCAATTACAAGACTTTTTGAAATATTTAAAATGAAGGCTTATTACTGAATCACATGTGAATTCTTTGCCATTTAAGCTAGAGCCACGTATGAAAACTGTTTAAAAACCAATCTGTGATTATCCATCTGCCAGCGTGGTATTATTGTTTGTTGTTCAGGGGTTTTCAAAGTATGAGGCGGGCCTCCTTAGGGGGGCTCCAAACAGTTTCAGGGGAGACTCAGTGAATGGAAGTGAAACCATATAACATTACTTATTGAATTAGTAATCAAAAGAAGATCACAGAATAGCCAACACGTAAGATTTCAGGGATACCGCAGTTTCTGGGAACTGTTTTTCCCCCATCAGAGTCAGAAACTAATAAATGCCTTAGGACAGAACTATTTGGTGTTGTCGGAAGTTATGTCAAACAGCAATATTAGGCTATTTTGGCTCAAATGTTGAGTTTCTATGGGATCAAATAATATAATCATGATCCCATAGGCATCCCGGAATTGAGCGAAACTTACCATGTAAGTACCCAAGTTTTGTCTGCAGTCTCAGACTTTGAAAACCTCCTGTTGTGGTTTGTTGATCCCGGTGGTTAACTAAACCCTTGACTGTAACTGTCAGGTCTGACGCGCTCGCGCCGTTTAGCTTTTAACCAGTTTAGCTGCAGTTTCAGTGGGTTCAGACTGGTTCTCTCAGGACTTACACCAGCTGTAAACCAGGTTTAACATGATCGCTCTGTTAAAACAAGCACAGGTTCAGCTGAATTGCCAATTCCACTGTACGCCAGATCTACTTCCAATATCTCAGTGTTAGTCTACATTAAACTGTACTAGGACTTAATCTGACAAGTTGATTGACTGAGTGCTTTAGTTTAACCTCACCTGCCTACTTTACTAACAAACTGCAGGCCGTCAGCCAAGAGGCTATTGTTAACTGGAAAAGTGGGACATTTTTGGAAATTATGCTTATTCACTGTATTGCTGAGAGTAAGGGACTCTCGCCAAATACTTTTTTAAGCACTGGAGAGGAAATTGTTTTTTATTTTGGCAATAGTTGTCTTTTGTATTCGTTTTATGTAGCCTGTAGCCTCCCACACATATCTCAACCTCATTGTATGCAGATACATTATCTGGATATTAAATGATCTGATCTTGCCATGTGTTGTTGCCCGACACCCTTTACAAAAAAATCTTAGTTTTGTGAGTTGTTAATTTAGGGGAAACTTTATAAACTTTGTGAAATTCTGTCTACAACAAATTCTTAATTATCTGTCCCCTCTTGTAAATTCAGCAAATATAAGAGCTTAAATGAAGTTATTCCTTTCTTTCTCCCGATGTATGTACTCTGTGACTGGATGCATTAATATTACAGTTATTTCTAACTGTACATCATTCGTTTCCCACCTTTAATTTTTCACGCAGCTCTGTTGAATAACGAGTCTTTTGGGCTTTCATGCCAGAGTAGACATATAATCAGTGATGGCACGTCTTTTTCAGCCTTCTTGCTTGCTATATTTTATGTGAGATTTGTTGTTGGTGGAGAATAAGAATTAACTGCTTCTTGTTGATGAGAAAGCAAATAAGCACATTTCCTAAAATGTCAAACTTTCCGTAGAAATTTGTCTGGAAAAAAGTATCCTGAATCTAGACCTTAGATGAACTACACATCACATTATGCTCAGTTTGTCTTGCATTCATGACACCTCACATGGTGGCAGATATAATTTTTATCCTGGATAGTCACTTGAGATGCCAGTTAAACCATGTGTAGACTGGAACTGCTGAACCTCAGTTCATACAGGTAAACAACTTATTGCACCAAGTGATTTTTTCCAGTTTAAAAACTTTGCTTCAACTCTAAACTCTAATCAGCCTCCTGATTTTTTATAGTCCTTGGTTTTACACTGTATCTTTGTTTATGCAAATATGAGCCGAGTGTATATTTACTCTGAAAATAAAGTCATATATTTTACAATGGGATTCTAAATTATTTAATAATTCAGTGATCCTGAGCAACAAACTCTTTATTTTCCTTTTTTTCCCTGTCAATGTTCACATTTATTTACCAGCACATAATTTCGTTTAAAATACGTGAGATATCCAGAGGTATTGTCCATACAGTGATTAACATAAACACAGCTTAATAAAAATAAAACAAAAACCCACACAGTGCAGAAATAAACTTGTTTCCAGTTTAGACCATCAGCATACTAAGCAAACACTGATCAAGTCATTAAGGAATGTAGCAACATTAAGTGTCTCTACAATGTTATTGTGCTGTATAACAATGAGGATGTGTTTAAAGTCTCTTCATCCGTCTATTGACACCTGGTCGGTCCAGGTAAATTGACTTCTGTATATGTATGAACCGCTGTCCAACACACGTTCATCTGTCGCTCATCCAGTTCTTCACTGTAGACTACTGGACCCAGTCTAGGAGAGAGTTTGCCAGGAACATCAGCACGAAGTCAGGCCCAGCTACAACCATCAGAGTACAAAAATAAAAATCTAATTCATTAAGCTGTTGTTTAACAAGAGGCTTCATATTAAATGTTTCAGATGAATTAAGTAACACTTACAGTTTGGTTTTATGTGCAAATGGAGCTAACAATGCAAGAGAGGATCAGGCCTGAAGGAAGAAAAAAAATTTATTTTTTAAATGACTATTTCAAGCTATTTATTAGTACCAGCGCTGACATGAATTAACCAATTCATCAATTAGTTGGCATAATTATTCTCACATTTGTGATGCACTGATGGAATATGATGGATCAAATCAGCACAGAGACTGTACTTATTAAACAAATCAGGTTCAGGCCAGATGTGACCAACTTTAAATACAATATCTTAGTCGTCTTTACAAAAGTGTGGCGTTCGAACTGGGTTTCACCATAGGCTGTATATAAAAAGGGTTTTACAGTATACCATTAGTATGAAAACTGACAGCTATACGGTATTGGAAAAAAGACATACTTCCATTTAAAAAAAAAAAAAAAAAAAAAAGGTTTCAAGTTTTGTCAGTTTGTGAATTATAATGAAGTGTTAAGTGTTTGTTCTATCACCCCAAAAAACCTTCTGTTTTCATTCCTTTAAAAGGTCATTGTAACTGATAATAATAACAACAACAACATGAAACCATGATATTTGAGATCAGTTACTGTACAGTGAAAATCTTATAATGTCCATAAACATATCATTTAATTGTACGTTCTATGAACAATGTTGGTATATGTAAAACTCCACAGAGTTCTGAAGGTTTCAGCTTTATTACCTAACACATAGAAGAATGATCGCAATCACTCCCATACAGGGGAATACAGATATTAAATTGAAAATAAAAAAGGAATGGGATCAATGCTCCATATCACCCATCATCATTAAATTTGATTTTAGAATTGGTATCACTCGAGACAAAAAATAAATAAATCTGTGCTCATGCTGTGAAAAATGACTCGTGCACAACAGCGTTAAGGTACCCTGTGGAGGTTTCCACAGCTAATGCTGTGTGGAGTAATGCTTAGCATGTCAGACATTCCTCGGATTAAAGCTATTCCACTGATAGCTGGCTGGTTTTGGTAATGGGCCAAGAAATTGAGCAAAAGGCAGGAAAGAGGACAACTGTTATTAGATGTAAACAATGCAAGTTTAGTGTTTTATGAGGACGGCAAAGTACTGGACACATTTGGAAGGCCTCAGGTGTGCTTTAGTGATAAATACTAAGTTAAATCTCCAAAAAGGTACCTTCATTTAGACTTTGCATTAAAAAAAGTTCTCTCTCCCTCCCTCCCCCCCTCCAGAGGAAGGATCAGCCAATGAGAGTTGTGGGACTTACAGCTGACACTGCGACGGGGCCTTCACTTGGGAGGAGTACAGTTTAACTGCCACTGGACTGCCTACATTAGGAAAACAAGAGGGTTAAATCAACACCACCACATTCACACATCGTGACGGATCACCATATGTGACATAGAAACTTACAGTAGGTGCTGATCACCACCACATCAGGAGAGGTCATGGAAAACAAGACAACAGATTACAGCCACGAACGTTTACAATCCAGTACAAAAAAGGAAAAGAGAAACTCTAGTATGAACTTTTCAAGCTCAAATGGTTGTGGTGCTTTTTTTTTGCAGCAAGTTATGAATTAAATACAACTCACTGGTCCCAGGTCTCTGTTGAAGAAGGCAGAGAGGGTACAATGGCAAGAAGAAAGGGTAACAAAGAATCCTCATCTGACAAACACAGAAACAAAGACATTCTATGTTTTGTGGCGGTGTTGTACCTCAAGGCAGACAATTTCTGTTCCATCAGTCGTTTCATCTTCATTCACAGACACAATGGCCCCTAGTGGTACTGTAGAGAGACGTTTTGATGCGTCTTTTTATTTGTATCTCGTATTTTATGAACATGCATGAGGACGCACATGGACACCACGAGCGCAGAGCTGATGTTACACAGATCTCTGCTGACTACAGAGGGCAGCAAGTCAGTTGCAGTACGGGCAGATAAAAACATGACGACGATGATTACCACAAGCTTTGTAATAAATGCAGATTTTAAGACAAATAAAAAGGCTGTGCGAATAGTTTCATTATAAGAAATGTATTTAATAAGCTTATAGAAAGGTCTCAATATGCCAAGTGTTTGTAGGTGTTTTGAAGGGGCACCGCAGGAGCAAAGCAACACGCCTGCCGTCATCGAGAGGGGCGACTTATGAAGAGAATGGCAAACACACTTTGAGACACACTCTCTGCTTGGACAGATTCATGTCAAACACATGGTGTTCACATCATGACTACTATGAAGATTCCTGTTAACAACTTGCCATCTCATAATGACTGTTGCATGATTACTGTTGGTCATTTTTAAGGATTAAAATGCAGTGAATTCAAAATGTCATACCACATCCATTTTATTTGGGTTTAATTACATATTTGTTTGGTTTTCAGGCACTTCTGAATTAGTATATGTCAGTTCATGTGAACGCTATTTACAAGAAGTAAGCTGAAACAATTATTTGATCGACAAAATTAATCTGTCAACTATTTTGATTATTAATCACTAAAGTTATTTAATAGAGCAAAAATACCAAGAATTCACCGGCTACAGGCCCTGTTCTAGTTCCTTATGTGAATACTGCTGGTTTTGTTTGTCTTCCATAATTACAAACGGAATATCTTTGAGTTTTGGACTTTTGATCAGATAAAACAAGATATATGAAGACATCATCTTGGACCCATGGAGACTGTGATGAACATTTTTAATAATTAATCGACTGATCGAGAACATAATTGGTAGATTAAATCGATGATTAATATAATGCGATGTAATAATGTGACATGAACAGGCCATTCAAAACCGAGCTTCATAGTAGGGATGTTCTGAATGAGTGGTTTTTGGCTATAATCCCAATTAGAGTCCTTTAAATATCTGCTGATACAGAGTTGGGTCCGATACACAGATTTGATTAAATATGTATCGGACACATTTAAACAACAACAACAACAACAACTGAAGTCTGCGTAACCTGATACACCTTGAATTTAACAAGCTACTTGATAGATTAAGTTAATAGGCTTAAATTATGGATCTGATTTAATTGGGAGAATGAGACACCTGAAACGATAAGACACAATCAGATAGAGAGAAGATGTATCGTTGTTGGGTTCGTTGGAACTACAAGACACTCAGCGCTCTCTTGGTTGCACAGCGGCGTTACAAAACTGAAGGGTCTTCCCTCCTACACAAGCTACTGAGAGTACCAGACAATTGTTGGATTCTGCTTATGTACTGAGGGTCACAGAACTGACAACGAGGTCATTAGAAGCATACTGAGGTAAAGGAGTAGTGGTATTGCACGTTGGTGCAGTTCCAACATGTTGCCACTGGAGGCCACCAAAGAATGCAAATAACATGTTAGGTCTAGTTTTGTTCCTGTTGCTGGATCTCATGCTGCCCACACACCTGTTGTGTTTTCCAGCTCCTGTACGATCTCAAGTAAGAAGGAGTTGAGGCGTTCTTTGCTGGAGGACAAACTTTCCCACAGCCATTCGAGAGCCCACTCATTACCCTAAGAGACAGAAATGTTATTAGATAAGACCTTTTAAGAGCCTCATTTCAGCTTCATGGCTCCTCCAGACATGTTCAAAAAGTTCAGTAAAATATTTCTTCTATCACGAGATGTCGTCATCATCACTATTGCTACGACAACCTCAGAAATATAGGAGGTGATAAGGAACATGGAAACAGTGATTTGGAGTAATTGTCTACAAACATGACATGAACAGGAGATTACCTTAAATGTATTGAGCACAGGGATGGCTGGACTCAGAGCAGCATTAAGGATTCTCAAACCTAAAGCCCCTGTTACCAACAGCAACATTGCTTGATCTGGGTACACCTGTGGACATATATTAACAGTTTATTTCCCTACTCACTTGGAACCTCTATGGGTTTGAGAGTACGCAACCATAACACACTCACCTCCTGAAAGAATCGTGGGATCTGTATGTTTAACCCAAGCTTGTCGAGCAGTATCGAATTCACAACATCCTTCGCTTCCTGCAGTCCATGAAAGACAGAAAATACATAATGAAAACACTGCCACTAAAAATGAAATTATAAAAATAAGAGTTAGTAATCAAGAAATACATACTTGTAGAAACTGCGGGCTCGGTGCTGGAAGAGCGGTGAGTGACCCACAAGGTGTGTTGACGATAGTGAGTAATTGGGTCCAACACTCAGACTGGATCAGAAAGGTATCAGATGTACAGTCACACACTGGAACATGCTCAACAAGGCCAACTTTATTTATAGAGCACATATAACCATCTGTTAGGATTTTTGCTTTTAGATGTTTCATTACAGAAAGAGTATGAAACCCATGACCAAAATAGTCACATGTTCTGTCCCTGTGTTACTTCTGAATGGAATTATAGAGAATTTTTTGCTGGGGACGTCCTGGAACACCCACTGGTTCTAGATGCCAGGATGGTACATAAGACACTTCACAAAAGTTGCATCAAGTCTCAACACTAATTAGACTTATGACTATCAATGACTCACAATTTGATTTCTAAAAAGCAAAATGAACAGTAGACTCACATCATTGAAGACATCAGAGCAGCTTTTTTGAACACCGAGAGCATACCTCACCAGCGCAGTACGCGTCAGTGGCACAGCATCTAGAAAGGGGAGGAAGTTCCACTTTTCTTTTTTTTCCTTTTTTTTGTGTTATGAGTAAAAACCTATTATTTATCCAAGCCTGACCTTTAATTGGCTCCCAAACTGCATCAGGATAGCAGAGCTGTGCGGGTGTGTGACTGACAGTCAGCTTTGGCGCTGTTCCTGTGTTAAAGATGCGTAAATAAAAGAGGAAGAGACGTGGAGTGAAGCGGGAGGCGGGGGCATTCACTAAGGGGAACAAACTGTGCAGAGCAGCCATCAAGTCCCCTTCCATGCACTTGAAGAATGGGATGAGGTCTTGTACCTGCTGGAGGCTACTGGAGAAACACATTAAATGCAGCAAGTCACTAACCTGATGACAGCAATCATGTCTAAATAATACATAACTCTATGTATGAGATTTTATTTTGAAATGTTATAGTTGAAATGATTATTTTTTTAAACAAGGGTGTGAATATTCATGTGCTTTGTTTTGTATCTACAATCAAAGTCATTTTAAAATGTGTTTTAGCAGCACATATTCAAGTTTTGTAAAACTTTTTGAAAGTCGGATTTGTTTATATACACACAACATTTATTTGCTAAGTGAAAAGTCACTTCAAAGTTTGACTCATCTGAAAGAGAATAAAAGTCTCTTATTCAAATTAGCAGGTTTGCTGATAAATGTAATTTTTAGATCATTGATCTCACCATGTTGAATGTTCAATACTTAATGAACGTTGTTTGGGGGAAAGATCAGACTACTACATTATAAAACAGGCGATAGTTGAGAAAACTTTAACCAGAATTAGAACAAGGAAACTTCATGTTGTGAACACATTCAGTCTATAAACACATACTCTGGCTTTGGGAACCTTATTGATCTTAAATAACACTAACAATTTTAAAATCTCACTTCTCTCCACACTAGCATTTTCATACTTAGTACTGATTTGAAGCATTTGTGGTTATTTGACCCAAAAAAAACAAAAACAACTCACGGTCCGGAACCATAAGTCTGGACGACTCGCAGGTAGCGACACAATTCTCTGTACCTGCAGACAGTAAAAACACAGCCAGGCCTGGTTTTATTTGCAGTTGTAAAAGGTAAGTATGTGTGTGTCTGTAAGTGTGCATGTATATCCGTTTTGTACCTCTGCTGTCGCTGTAGTTCTTCTGTTCGCAATCGAACTACAGTAATGTGTTCAATCAGGACATCTTTCTTGCCTTTGTCTTTGCGGACACCCGACACGTTCTGCCCCTTCAGCACAGACACTAGCAGGACATCATCCCAAGGACGAACACACAGGCTGAAGCGCAAACACGCACATGAAGTTATAAAAAAAATACACAAAAAGACTTTAATGTGGAACTTTGGGGATAATAAAAAGGGTGAAAAGAAAAAAAAAAAAAAACCACACACATACCTGTCTCTCGTGCCCTTCAGGGCAGCAGGGGAAATGTATGTCTTGTAAAAATCCTGAAGTTTGTGGGTGAACTCTAGCGTAAAACCAGCTAACACCATCTGTGTCTGCAAGGACGTTATTACCCTGGACACACACACACACACACACACACACACACACACACACCTTAGTTATAGACAGGACACAAGATGGCTTCTGTTTCTGTGTGTGTTCCTGTGTACCTCTGCATTAATGCCACTTTAGCCTGCTCAACACTAGCCATGGGAGAGAGTAAGGAGCAGTTGCTGTAAAGAACAATATCAAATGAAGAACATTAATACCTTACATTACATTTATTAAAAAAATAAAATAAAACTGAAGATAACCTTAAATCTAGAACAGGAATAACAACTCTGTGTGTGTGCGCGCGTGCATGTACCCCGAGATTTGAAAATGTTTAACAATCTCCTTAGCGGCTCCCAGTCTCATGATGGCAGCAGCTCTGCCGCCCTGTTTGTCCGCTTCGTCCAGGAACGATGACACAAACTTGTACACAGGTGTGTAACTGCAAAAACAGAACGTTTAAATCTAAAAATGTCACTTTTAAAAATTTGTTACAAATGTAAGTGCTGGGAATGTGGCACAATTTAAAGTTGGTACTTGCCACTGTTCATGTTCCTTCCATTCCATCTCGTTACTTGGTGGTGTATTTTTAACCATAATCTATGGTAGGATTACTCTGCCAGTTCATCGCTTTGGTCCAAATTAAAATACGCCGTATGGCCAAAAGTATGTGGACGTAACATTTTTCTACATGGCGAATCTCACAACAACTGGATGGGCATTTGGTAAAGATGTTAATGGATGAAGATGAATCGATGAAACGACTTTCACTCAGTGGTCAACTGATCATGTTTTTCAATGGCCTATGCCAATATTTAGAGGACAGTATAAAAATTTATATTTAACACCATCCAGTAATGTTTTTTTGATTAGATAGACTTTCATTTAGAATTATATGTTGGCCTATGCTGATTATCTCAAAATGCAAGCTATCAGCTTTTCAATCCCTATTTCAGGTATTAAACAAACCATCCGATATGTAAATGGTATGAGATCATCTGAACAGTTTTCTTTCAACATTATGGACAGCTCAGTTCCGTCACTCACTCGTAGACGAGGACTCGCTGGTTCGTTTGACTCGGACCGTCTTCCTGAGTAATCTTTCCCCTCAGGAAGGAAAAAAACTCTGTAGAGAGACCTTGTCTGAAGCTGTGCAGCATTGTCTCTAGACAAGAGGAACACCAACTCAGTGGCAGTGAAATGACATGTAATTAACAGTCTTGCAACAAGTGGCTCAGTGAGTACCTGCATGTCGGAGGTGATCATCTATTTCAGACAGAGTGAGGTTGAAACTGTTCAGTTCTCCCAACAGCTGGATGTTTCTGAGGTTGCTCCAGAACTCACTCCTCTTGTGGCTGTTGCAGTGACACACACTGCTCTTACACCACAGTGAACACTGTACACACACACAAAAAAACTAAGGCAAAGTTTTAAATTATCTTTATCTATCAACAAATGTGTTCTTTTTGTCCAGAGCACTGCTGCTGCTGAAGGTTTTTTGTTAAATTTAAGGTCACTCTGAATAAATCATCCAATAAATGAAGTTCGATCAGATGCATGTTCACAGTTTCTTGTTAAAAATACAATTACAGAAAAACTAATAAAATAATACATGAGAAATGGCTCGGAAGCACAGGATAACTCTCGTGATGATAGAGACACTATTCTGTATTTTGCAACATGATTTATCAGATCTCTGTAACTGAAGGGACAAAGCAGCTTGTGTTGTATTGTAAAGGTGTTTCTGTTTTAATGTTATAACAGTGCTGCTTCAAGCCATTCAGTGACATTTCTCCTCTTAACTTTAAAGACAACCATCAACAAAAGCAATGTAAATGTCAAAATGCTTCCGTGTCCTATGGTGGCTTGAACTGATGGTGCACATTTTGAAGAGTTCAAACATTACGCATGAAAGCTGAACATTGTGTAGATTAGATGAGTTTTGATGCGTTTGTGCTGTGCACTACTCTCAACAGTGAGTCAGACTAAATCAACACATACTGTTGACGCCAGCTTGTCGCAGATGTAGCAGAAGCACTGATCACACATGAGTTGGTTACTGGCCACATGAGTGTCGACGACACAGTCTGTAGCCCTGAGCGGGACAGAAGAGAAGCAGTGTGATTATCTGTAACGGAGGGACAGCTTTGATTTGAGTGAGTGTGCAATTTACTCACGTGAAAGGATATATGGGACAGTCATAGCGAGCGTGAGGCAGCACCTCAGCACGGCGGGAGAAGGTAACAACCAGGTCTTCATCCAGTGCAGTGGGAGATAAAGCACAGTCTGAAACACAGAGGAAGACCAGCTGATGACTATAACAACCTACCTACATCACAAACAGGCTGGTGGTGAAGGGAAACTCAGTTGTCACCAATATTCTTCACGTCTTTGTCCTCCACATCCACGATGAGAACTGAGGGTTCACTGCAGGATATGTCATCTTCAAGGCATTCCTCAACATCATCATCATCACTGAGGATGATTATTTCTCCAGCGCCCACCGTTGTACACATCACAAATGTCTAGTACAAGGGAAAGGGAAAAGGCAGTAATCAACTTACATGTGTAACATTACCTGGTTATTGAATGAGTGAGTCACACATCAAACTCTTCTTGTTCCTCACTGAGAGTTTACAGGCTTGGCTGGTTTGTTAGGATTTTGGGAGACCCGGGTTCAAGTCAACAACATTTACAGTTACATATCATCTGTATGAGAAAACGGCTGCGTGATTCTGTAGCGTTGACGTTCCCACTAACAAAATACATGATTGTTTTCTTAGTTTTAACAAGCTAACGTTAGCTAGCGAAAGTTACTTTCCCCAAGGCAGGAAACAGAAAGTTAAAATCAGTTCGCAAAAATGCACCCAAAGCGTTAAAGCTTCTCTTCTTTGCTGCAAAACAACAGTAACGTAAACCGATATAAATACGCTTAAATAACCGTTTTAGTTATGTCACAAACAGTTATCTTACCTGTTGTATCAAAATAAATAAGTTGATTTTGGCGCTCGGCGTTGTCACCGGACCGGATGTGACGTTTCTTCTTCTTTGTCGGCTTTATTGCCGGTTGGTGTGTTACCGACAGCTACTGAACTACAGTGTGGCGACGTGGGATGAATACAGAAAGGCAAAAAAGATTCATGAATAAATCAATAATTAATAATTAATTGGCTTTTTTAATACCGTCTTCTTCCTTTTAATTTGCCCCTTTAATGACAACTACTGTGCTCGAGGGTGGCGCAGTGTTCGTTACCCCATATAAATAAATAAAAATATAAAATGAAATACTATTTATCCACCGAGTGTCCTTGAGTGACTGGAGCACTTTGGACCACAAAATTTGATTGTACATATAACATGTTCCTCTATTTCACAATAATCAAATCATCCAGATGGATGCTTGCCTATCAAACACAAAGTTTTAATTGTTCTCTATTATTATATTGATGCCATCCTCTGTAGGTAAATGGTTATTTTCAACTTTTCAAACCGCAAATGAGCTCTTCAGTCCATGTCATTCTCCATCCATCCATCCATCGTCAACCGCTTATCCTGCGTACAGGGTCGCGGGGTGCTGGAGCCAATCATTGGGTGAAAGGCGGGGTACACCTTGGACATGTCGCCAATCCATCGCAGGGCCACACAAAATCCTAACAAACCAGCCAAGCCTGTAAACTCTGTGTGAGGAACAAGAAGAGTTTGATGTGTGACTCACTCATTCAATAACCAGGTAATGTTATACATGTGAGTTGATTATCGCCTTTTCCCTTTCCCTTGTGCTAGACATTTGTGATGTGTACCTCAGTGATGATGACGATGTTGAGGAAAGTCTTGAAGATGACAAGACCTTCTTGCTGTGAGGCGACAGTGCTAACCACTGCACCACTGCACCATCCTCTGTCATTCTATACAATTTATTCATTAAAAACTAAGGCTTATTTTCAAGCCTCTCCTTTAATTACGAAATAAAACACCCAGATTTTCTTTCTAAAGAGCTTCTTTAGAAAAGACACCTAACAACTAATTTCTTCTGTTCTGATATACCTTATTGCCCAGTGTCATTACTTAATGCACTTTACATAAATTAAAATTAAAATAAAGACCACAAGACAATGGGCATCTTGCAAGTACAACAAAACGCAAAGGTGAAGGTCATTGTTCACTCACAAAATGGTAGTATAATCGTGATTTTAAAATAAAACATAAGCTTAAATTTTATTTTAATTGCAATATACAGTCAATTACAATAACATTGATGTTTAGAGAAAACATGCTTTTGCAATAAATTAACTGACAAAAAGGTCCATGAGCTAATACTTTGAACCATAGTCCATCCAGAGTTACACAGCTGAATGCAAACAAACAAACAGAGGATCAAAGAAAGAAATCAGAAATGTTTTCAGGAGTGCTGTTACAGAGCAGCGCTGCTCATCTTGTTATTTTTACGAGAATTATATCTCCTTGCTGCTGCTCTCTGGTTTCTTTGGGTTTCTGTCAGACCATCTTCAGCTTCTGTTTTCAGCCCTGCAGTGTCCGTTCCCACCTGCTGCTCCGCCTGCTCGTCCTCAGCGCTCTGAGCAGGCATGTCTCTCAGCCACTGCTGGTAGTAACCACGGAACCCATCAATTTGGACCAGGTAGTTGTTTCTGGACTTGTACTAGGATTGATAGAAGGGAAGAAAGACGAGGGGCAAAATAAAGAGGGGACCAGGAGAAGAGGGATAACATGAAAAATAGGAATCAGTCAACCATTTAATCTGCAAATGAAGACGTAACCCTAAACACTGACCAGGCATCTGTTTATTTACAGAAAGTCTAGGGTTTGTGGGTCTATTAGGGAGAAAACACTGGGCTGAATGATGCAAAAAAGCTCTGCAGACTGTCAATTTTAGTGGAAAGACCTTACCACTGATATTTGACACATATGAAGAGATGCATGGAACCAATCAGCTCAGTTAAAGCCTGACACACATCTAGACCTTTTAACTGTCATAGCAACAATACAGTTTTGGAAATGAGAAAAAGAGCTCTCATCAGCATCTGTTTACTATGTAACTCTGCTATAAAGAAAACAGCAGAGCCTTTAGTTTCTTTGGCTGTGATCAGCATCTATACCTCCCCATCCACACAGATATTCATCGAGGGCCATGCTCAGGCACTAGTAGGCTTACCTGGTCATAGTTGGGAGGATATTGTGAAGCAAACTCCAGCTGTCTGATGATGACCTCATTAGGCCACACTCCCATGCTGCTCATGCTTTTGAGCAATGTTTTAAGGTACACGTAATCCAGTCTTCGAGTTGCTCGGCCAATTAGAGCAGAGAACACCTGGACGTTGGGCTTAAGTCCCGCCTCCTGCGAAAAATATGTGTAAAGATGAAAGAAAGAACTATCAAGTTACAAAATACTGGTCTTCTGCTAGTTCTAATACTCCTAACATGATTACTGATGAAATTAGGAGTATTTCCTGACTGTCAAACGTTATTGTTCATCACTTCACTTTCATTTGATAAACTTTACATATCTTTTATATGTTTACATTAATATATCTAAAAGGATTTTCTGTCCTCAATAATACAAATACAAGGTTGAATTTAATATCTGGTCTGAGTTTAATGATGTGTGTTTCATTACCTCCATGTCCTTCAGCAGCTGCAGACCGTCTTTCTGTTGCTCACAGCCCAATGCGAGGCTTCCGAAAGTCTGTACATCAATGTTTACATTACGCTGTCGCATCACACTCAACACAGCCTGGAAAGAGAAATAAGTGTCTTAAAAAATACGCACGCACTTAGAAGTGTTGCTTCACCCAAGTTACTAAAAAACAAAAACATTTTCTCACTAACATCCAGAGCCATATAATGGTGCAGATAAATGTTTACAGCATCAAAATAAAAGAAATCAACAAAAACATGTCTTTCAAAATTCCCTCGCTGAGAGAGACACATTGTCAACAGCCTCACAGGGACTATTTCTTCTATAGAAAATAATTCTAAGGAAAGCTGTTTGTAGAAAGTTTAGCAGATTAATAAGGCAAGGCAGGTTTATCTGTGTAGCACATTTCAACAACAAGGCCATTCAATGTGCTTTACATAAAGCATGAAAACTGCATAAGACAATATAAAAATACATTAAAATTCAATTCAAAAGACTTGGAATGAGGACAATGATTAGTAGTGGAGACCTGGCCACATTCAACCAGCACTATCTGCTAGACACTACTAAAGTTAAGTGAGAGACAGAGTGTGTGTGTGTGTGTGTGCGTGTGTGTGTGTACCTTTGCCCCCTCCAGGTCACCAGCTCTGGCTGATCTGCGAATCACAGAGTTAAAGAATGCGACGTCGAGCTTCACTTTATGCTGCTTTGCGACCTTCAGCAGCATCTGCAGAGACTGATAGCTCGGCTCCATCGTGTCGGCCAGCAGGGTCAGAGTTCTGATGTCTGGAGTGAGTCTGTTAGCGGCCATCTTCTCCAGAAAACCTTTAGCTCCTCCGATGAGGGCGAGCCTATCTGATGCTCCATCCACAGTTCCGAGTGAGACCACACCACCCCTCTGACCCTCAAAAAGGTCCAGTATGTTAGGGGCTGAGGAATCACTGTAGTCGACAGGCAGCGAGACAGTCTGTCTGACTGGTACCAAATGGGTTGAGTCTTGTCTGCTGTAGGACTCCTCCTCACTGTGTCTGGTGTGCTGCTGACTGTCTCTTTGTGGATCAGGTTGGACAAACAACTGCCTCTCCAGAAGGTCAATGGCTATCACATCCTTGCATCCAGACTGTGGCTTTATATCTGACACATGTTCCCTTTCGTACTTCTCGTCAGGCCTCAGGAGCATGCCGGTGGCCAGGGCAGGGTCGCCAATCCCACAATCCCTAGCAGTTCGCAAGAGTAGGTTATAGTTCCTTGAGTCTGGAACAATCCCTGACCTCAGCATCTGGCGCCAAATCTGAAACAAATACCAAAGAGGTAAGGCGCCTACTGACTGTGCCATAACAACAATATTCCAGGTTCTTTGTATGTTCACTGTGAGAGTTAGGTTCAATGTGTCTTGGTTGCCAGTGTACAAGATCAATTTTTATATAAATTTTTCTGCTATGCGAAAATTAAAAGAAGAAGTGGACTAATATCACGTTATGATCTAACACCACATCAACTAGAGCTAAACCAATAAATCTGCCAGTTTTAAGTCCTTTTTAAAAATCTCTGCTAAATCATTATCGATTTTTAAAATTCCCGAATCCAGCATCATTCAGGCCGTACTAATAACCAGAGATTTCCGAATGTTTCTCTCACATTTCCAAAAATCTCAGTGGCCTTTACTCTCAAAAACTATTCCTAACCACTATAGTTAAGTGCCTCTAACTCATGTATCTACCTGTAAAGCCAGTCTGAATCCTGTTTCTTTGTCCTTCAAACAGCCCATCAGCAGGTAGTGAAATGTTTCGTGGGTTACTGCATGGCCGTTCTGCAGCATCTCCTACAAACATACAGAAACTCAAGTAGAAACACAAATCTAACACAATTCAGCTGGCCACCCTTTACACCCTTACAAATGTCGGCTGATGTCGTACCTTCAGCGTGTGAATACAGGCCTGAAGGTGGTTGGTGATGGCGTGTGTCTTGAGAAGGGCGTGGTATGTGATGGTGCTGAGGGGGTAGTTCTTGCGGCGGAGTTCTTGCTCCAACTTCAACGCTTGCTGGAGACCGGCTTGTTTGGATGGTGACTCAGCGCAGGCATTGAACAGCGCAGTGTAGGTAGCATCTGTAGCATCAAGACCTCGCTTCTTCATCTGTGAGACACACACACACACACACACACACACACACACATACACGTAATTCACATTATTATAACATTACCAACTGAAATGTGATATGTTTTTGAAGTTTCATCATCGCGAAATTTTTGCTGGTTTTATCTTCTTAAGGATTTGCTGCTATTCTTTGTCAGTTACGATAGTAAATGAAGAGTCTTTGGGTTTTGGACTGTTGGCAGGACAAGAGAAGCAATTTGAAGATGTCACTTTGGGCTCAGGAAAA